AAAGCACCTCAGCACCAGTGACACCGAGAGCCCGGGTCTCAGGAATGACGCAGGGACTGACCAGCGCCCGGGGCTGGGCACAGGCACTCGCCTCCCTGGGCCACACCGGTGCTCGTGCAGGCCAGCTGACCCGACACACACACCGCACAGGCTCCCTGGTTCCCCTAAACTGAAAGACAGAGCTGCAGGCCTAAGCAAACTCCTGAATTTCGCCTGGCACATGCCTGTTCTTTCTTTTCTCTGGTGTATGGCTGGGGTGGACTACAGTAAGTTACACTTAACAGTCTGTATTTTTATATATGCTCGGTCAGTACCTGAGGAGCTTCTCTGGACTGTGTGATGGTTGTGAACAGTTATGACGACGGGAGGAGTGGCATGCCACGGGGCTTACAGGATCTTAGCTCCCCAACCAGGGACGGAAGCCAGGCCCTCAGCAGCGAGGGTGGAGTCCTAACCACTGGTCCACCAAGGGACGTCTGCAGTTATGATTTAACAAGATTTCTCTCTTTTGGTTTCTGAGAATTAAATACTTAAAAGTAGCTTTCTGAGAAGTGAGCAAATGGAGAATATTCCTATGTTTTAAGTAATAAAAATAGAACCATTCCATCAAATGCAATTCTTCAAGTTGATTACAATATTCAGGGAGGCACATTAAATTTTAGAAGCAACAGTTAACAATACGTAACACTCTTTAAAAGCAGTGTTAATGTGTTCCTTTTTAAGTCTCACCTAACAAATCCAGACAATAAAATATAAGTGGGGGAAAACGAAAATTCACAGAGACATTTCATGTGCCTAATAACAAAAGGTCTCTTTAAATTTCAAGTTCCCTTCATGATTTCAACCCAAAGTTTTAAATAAAAATCCCACTCTGATTCATACAGAAATGTTCTAAGACACATTTCTAGCACAGAGCAAGTCCCAGCCACCCTCCACCGGAGTACACCGCCATCCACTTCAACATACAAGGGTAGTGGCCAGGTGGTACCAGGCCACTCCACGCCAACCCTCCAGCCCTGACACCACTCACCACTCAGGGTACTGTGTTGTACCTCCAAACACTTCCCAAAATTCTCAGGGCTGGTCGCCACCAACCAGGGTTGGCAAGCGACATGAAACACAATCAGTCCCTAAAGATGTTCTGAATCAACTCTGATTACCATATACTCACTGGAAACAGTAGACTATTCTCCCTAACTTAGAACTAAGGAACACATGGGGAAAAGGAACAGCAAAAACAACTATTATAAATAGCAGTAAAAAGCACAAGATTCAGAGGCCTCACTCTACCAGTTAGTAGCTGAGTGGCCCTGGGCAACTAATATAACCTCTCCGACACTCAACGTACTTAACTGTAAAAGGTAAATGATAGAGCTAACCTGTAAGGCTGCTGTGACTGCATGCTAAGCAGCAACTGTGCTTGATAAGCAGTATGCTTGATAATACTTGATAAGCAGCAGCCACCACTTATTATATGGCATAAAATCAGGGAATGTGTTTCTAGATGAGGCCTTAGGAGCATTCTGAAAAGAAAATGGACATTTATAAAGTAACTTCTCTGTGTTAGAAAGGTCCCAAAGAAATAAATAAGAGACCAGCATCCAGCCATGGGTCTCTCTCATCCACAGCCCTGTCATTTTCACCTCACCCCGCCCTTGTGTACACACGTGTGCACTCTGCCCTGGTGACAAGAACCTCAATCTCCAAGCTCCACACACATAACTTCAGGACGGCCAACAACACACACAATGCCAAGACTGCCCTCGAAGAAAGTGAGGGACAGCTCTGCGAGCCTTCAACCCAGACCACAACCCTGCTCACCTGACTGCCAACATCAAGAAAGACTCTTTGTTCCATCCTTCCTGCGAACGCTTCCCATGGCCACAGCGCATTAGCTCTAACAAAGAGGAACAAGACAGAAAGACCAGAGTCTCCTTGGATGACCAGTATGAATGAAAATCACTTTAAAAACAACATGATTAATGAAAGGGCAGACTGAAAAACCTCATCTTAAGACTCAGGCTCTTTCACCTTTCAAAAAACTCAACTTAGATAAATTATTTAATTAGAGATAATGAGATATGGAAAATGACAGAAAGAGAAGTTCTTGTTGATTCACCATTGCCTCACAGGTAAAAGCTCGCCTAGAGAAACCTAATTTAAGTTGTAATATATTTTCAATTTGTATATCAGAATAAGACTGCCAAGAAAATTCTATTTTCCTAACAAGTCTGTAGATGCATATTTTGACTCTAATCACCACCAGCACATAATTTCTAAACAGTTTTATGTACCATGATAGTTCAGTGTCCTGTATGGAGACCAATGAATGCAAAGAGTAATTTAATTAATACACTAGGTGCCAGTTTAAGTTAAAAAAAAAAGTGAAGGAAATAAAACCCTCTGAAGAGTAAATTTCTCTAGGAAATCTTATAAACAAAACATATATTTTTGCACTAACAGAAGGTGAAGAAGGCCTGGAATCAGCAAAATACAAGAACATGGACTCACAGTGAGATGCTTTTATTAAACAAGTAATTGTAAACCTGAAATGCATGAAGAGCATTCTCCATAGATACATATACGAGTCAGTCCTCCCGGAGAGGAAGCCCCTGCGGGGCCCTCACCAGCTCCAGTACACAGCACAGCATAGTCCTGGGCATGAGCACCGCAGTCCCCGCGAGGGGACCAAGACCAGCAGGGGCAGACTGAGAAGGAAATGACAGCATGCTTAGCACTTAAACTGCCTCCTTTTTGCACAATGGACATGTTCTCTCATAAACAGTTCCTACCCACCAAAATACACACACACACACACCTACACAGCAGCAAAAACCCAGGACGTGAGGGAAACACTGTTCTACTCCAGAGAGATACAAACAAGAGACCACTATCCTCTGAAAAGGTGGAAGTTGCCAATATGGAGGCATTACTAGAATAAAAAATCTTAATTCACAGAACATGTTGGTAACTTAAAACTTAAGGATTAAGAAGAACTAAAAAACAACTTCAACGTTTAGCAGATGACTACTTGCATGTAAAATTCCTCTTTTGTTTTCCTGTGTATTGTAAAATCATACAGCATGATTTTAGAATATGATCTGATATAAAAAACATGTTTTCCATCAGAGCAAAAGAGCAAAAATGGAAGCAGATAAACTCTTCTGAAGACAAGGTGCTCATCAGCGGAAGGCTGCCCGCAACAGCAGAGCCGTGCCCTGCACCTCCTAGCCCCCCAAAGCCCAGAGCGCACTGGCCCACAGGGCGCCAGCTGACTGCCGGGGCAAAAGGCCCGCTCCCAGCCTCGGCCCCAGGGCCCATCCTCTAAGTTTATGACTCCAGGAAAAACAGGAGACATTGACAAAGACTAGGATTAAAACAAGGTCAGAAGCAAGGGACCACAAAGGCGCTGGAAACTGATGAACACTTGGGTTTTCATCTAGAGGTAAAACAATCTGATACAACGTAGGCCAGCTATTTATCGACATTCTGAATGACAACGAATGGAGGTGAGAAAAACCAGATTTGGTCTATCAAAAATGCTCTTACGGTATTTGAAACACTCCCATCTTTAGCATGCAAGCTAAGAAACAAAAGCAATGGAAACTCGTCTGATTAAAAGGCTAAGGACAAGGTGCCTGTAATTCATAAGGCCAGTGACTCCACACCCCTTGCACCTCCTAGTGGCCCTGCTTCCCTGGAGGTACTGAGAATCTGAGGTCCTTTACTCTTCCTACAGGACTCCCAGGTGGCACCAGAGATAAAGAACTTGCCTGCCAACGCAGGAGACCTAAGAGACACGGGTTGGACATCTTTCCCTGGGTTGGAAAGATCCCCTAGAGGAGAGAATGGCAACCCACGCCGGTATTCTTGTTTGGAGAGTATCATGGACAGAGGAGCCTGGTGGGCTACAGTCCATGGGGTCACACAGAGTCGGACACAACTGAAGCAACTTAGCATGCACGCACTTTTCCTACTATAAATAATCTGTGGTTAATTCATTACAATTAAAGCAAAAGATGGGCGTACTTTCTATAGTAAGTAAAGACTACACAGCAGGGTTAAGAAAGCACCAGGTGGTTCAGTGGTAAAGAATCGCCTGCAATGAAGACAACGCAGGTTCGATCCCTGGATCGGGAAGATCCCTTGGAGAAGGAAATGACAACCCACTCCAGTATTCCTGCCTGGGAAATTTCATGGACAAAAGAGCCTGGCAGGCTACACAGCCCATGGGGTCGCAGAGTCGGACACGACTGAGTGACTGAACACCACCAGCATTCTAGCGGGTTGACAAGAGGATCTCCTACAGCGGGGTCTATCTGCATTCTGTCTGCTCACTTTAAGCGCTGGGATTATCCAGACTGCAAAGGTAGGCTGCAGCTGCTGTGCTTCACTACAGACGCGCCAAGACGGGCACCGAGCTAAGGGGAGGACGGGAGCGAGGTGCACCCCGCTTCTGAAGGAGGCCGTGGGAAGATCCCCCATGATCTCACGTTAGGACTGTCGATCCCCTTTTTCCTCAAATGGGGATGGGGGGATGGAGCAACCAGCCTGAACTGCAAGACAGGGAAATGGTGTCTGGGACAAAGCTGCTTAAAAGCAACACACACTGCCCCCTCCCCACCCACTGACGCTCACTGAATCTAAAGCTACACACAATAGATTATCTGTTCTGTGGTAAAGGAAATTTAATTTTTAAAACAAAATTGAGGATTGTACTATAAATTATCTACAAAAAGAGGTTAAAAATTCTACAAAACTCCTAAATCAGGACTTTAGGAATTGTCACACTGATTTTCCACTAAGATTCAAGAGATCTGAAGCAGGGGTCCCAGCGGGAAGCAGCATCTCAAGGACCCTCCCACAGCACTTCAGGGGACAAGGGCTGCCCACGGGACTGCAGAGGGTGACCGGACCTCCCCTTCACAGACTCTCTGGGAGCTGGGACACACTCCGAGAAACACAGAGTCCAAGAGGCCCTGGTGACCTCGTCAACTTACCCCGCCTGACAACTTAATCACCCTGACCTTGGAGCTGACGTGCGGCCCGTCTCCGCCGCCGCTGTTGGCCCGGTGCATGACAGTCCTCTTGGTGCCAGGCTTGGCCTCCGGGGGCCGGCCCTGGAGGGATGCGGCTCGAGCGGTCTGCGAGGAGGGCGGCAGGCCCTCCCCGTCGGCGGGCTTTACCTGCAGGACTTTGTGCTGAGCTGGACTCTGAGGTATGGTTCTGGCCTGTCTCAAGTGTTTCAGTGGTTTCAGCTGTTGTCCTGGATACTGTGTGTGAGCACCAGACGGCACAAACCCTGATGCTTTGGGCAGAACGTTTGCAACGGCCGCATCCTGATTTTTCACGAGCAGTCTGTTTTTCACGTTGGGTCTGACCGGAGGCCCCGGGAAAGGGAGCAGCGGGCTACCGTTGGCGGGCGGCAGGGCGGGCGTCTGCTCCGCGGGGGCGGCGGGGGCGGGCGGGGCACAGAGCTGCTGCTGCTGAGCCAGCCTCTGGAGCAGCTCCTTCTTCCGGGCGCCCGCCTGCTGCTGCCGCCGCAGCTCCTTCTGCTTCAGGATCTCCTCCCGCAGGCGCTTCTGCTCCTCTATCTTCAGGCGGTACAGCCGCGTCTCCTCATCTTCATCAGGAGACTGCAACCAGAGACACGTGCTTTACTCTCGAGTACGAGGCGAGCTACAGTTCCAGTCTGCTTCAACAAACTTAAGAAAAAGCACTTTCTAAAAACCCTTTAATTCAGGATCTGAAAGAAACCATTCAAATCTGCCTATAGACTTTAAGTGGAACTCCTTCCCCCAGGGGAGGGGAAAAAAAATTTACACAGCTGAAGCTAATTTGGAAAATCTTATCAGAATATTAAAAATGAAATAATGTAAATTTCCACTCATTTACAACTTTAAATCAATTAAACTATTCATTTATGATATCAAAATATGTTTGAAATGGAAACTGCAACAGAAGGGAGGCCCGGGTGTCACACAGGCTTTATCTGGCTCTTCTCTGACGAACCAACAAAAGGTGGGGTGTAAATGACCTGAAAGGGCCTGATTAGAACTATTGATTTTTTTGTACAGAATTTTCAGTCTGATCTCAAACTCATTTGTCACAGAATAATTGCTTATAATGAACAGCCAAGTCAATCTCTCTGACCTTGAACTCATGCACTCTCCTCAGAATCAAAATGCTGCCAACTGCAGTATTGGAATATTAATGGTATATAAGGGATGCCTTTAATATGCCATCCTCAAACCACTCTATCAAAAGAATCTTTATAAAGTCCAATAATTTTTTTTAAAAAAAGGCATTCAGAGAGGAAACTTTATTAGAAGTTAAGCATGTTTAAAATTGTAATAATTTTCTTTCAAAAAATCATAGATATCATCACTCACAGACCCTTTCCAAGAGAATGTAATAGGGTTTAATCTACCCAGAATTCACTGTTAACAAATAAACCTTACAAGTTTGGAATTAAGAGACCAAAGCTTCCCTCATAGCTCACTCGGTAAAGAATTTGCCTGCACTCCAAGAGACCAGGGTTTGATCCCTGGGTCGGAAAGATCCCCTGGAAAAGGGAATAGCAACCCACTCTAGTATTCTTGCTTGGAGAATCCCATGGACAGAGGAGCTTGGCAGGCTACAGTTCCATGAGGCTGCAAGAATCAGACACAACTTAGCAACTAAACCACCACCCTAAGACTGAAACGTCACTGAAGAGTTGCCTGGTGCCCCCAGGGCCCACACACCGGACCTACAAGACACAGAGCCAGGGCCTCACTCCCTACATCTCAGGAGCAGCTCTGACAACTCAGTCATCTAACTCCAAACAGCAAATCTGAAGCTAGATGAGGGCTACACGGAGCTGGAAGTGACACTAGGGGAAGAGAGGAAAACAGACATTCAAAAAGCCCAAGAGCCAGGCCATTCTGGGGCAGCAGTAACAGGAGCAGAGGGCCCACTGTTTCAGAGGCAGGAAGTGAACACCCGCTTAGGTTTTTCCCCAAGGAATCGAACAACAGTTAAAGTATGTTCAAGAATATAGGTAGAAATATTTCAAAATAGACCTGTCCTTTATTATGTCATTATCAACTGAGTGAATATAAGAGAAATCACATTTCACATTTGCCTAAGCAAAATAAATAGAAGACTTTAGAAAGCGGAAAAAAAAAAAAAAACCACCACACAAAAAACTGTACTCCTGGTTCCACTCCACTTACACTGTGGCCACCTGCAAGTTCCATTTTATGCACAAAGTGCCCATTTTCCTCTAGAGAAGGTGTCTTCAGAAGCCTGCTTGAACCAACTACTATGGAAGGGATGGACAGATGTGGCCAACACTATGCCTAAAAAGCCACTCTTCTCATTTTAGCCACTGTCATTATAAAAGTGTATGTGACCTCATTTTTCTGAGCCACAGCTGTTTATACATGAGTTAGAACTACCTACATAAACTAAAAGCAAGATAAAAACTGTTAGCAAAGATTTCTAAATTATCGCGGTCCACTTTGTAAATCTACATTATTCTTTTATATATTGATTTTAAAACCATAATGTCACCCTTGCTCTAATAAGACGTTTTTAAATGTTAACTCAGCATTTTCACCTTATACTTACACTTCTGATTTAGAAGTGTTACCTTAACAGCTGCTGCCGTAACTTATTAGAGGACAATCTAGTAAGACACGACTTGCTTGCGTTCTTACCTGAGGAAACCCTCTGTGCCACTGCTCTTTCATACACTGAGTTACTACACACGCTCATTTCTCACATTCTAACACTGCCACAGAACTAGCATGACTCTCACATACAGGTCTTCTGCCGTGTCTGACACATGCGCCCAACAGCGCGGGACACGTGAGCTAACAGGCTCAGAGCCGCTCTGCTGGCCACGGCAGCGGGCTGTTCAGGGGTGTGCCCCGGCCCGCATCGCACTGAACACCCCGGCTTTGTGAGAGCTGCATCGCACTGGGGAGACAGTGCCCAGCCTCCGTGTCTACAACTCTAGGGGGAGCCCAGAGGGGACCCCAGCTGCAGGGAAGCACTAGACAAGCGCACTCAACACCTGGACAGGAGACCAATGGACAGAAGGGGCTCGTCCGAGGAGTAAGCTAATAAATTTTACTAATGTAAAGAAATTTTCTAAAAATTTTAAGCTTCATGACTACTGCATTAATACTGAGCTGCCTCTAAGCAAAACACAACCAAGCAGTCAAAACTATATCAAATAACATCTCAATGGGAAATCACATAGAATACTGACTTGCATTTTTATTTATTCTTACATATTTATACCTACTGTGAAATCAGCAATAATATAGACAATTCAAACAAAATACGCCCACCCCCAACTTACCTAAAGGTCCAAAGTAAAACTGGTCCTACCTTCTGGTAGTTCAGTGTAAAAGCAGAACAAGTCGCAAGAACGTAAGAGTGCATGTCAGGGGTCAGCTAACTCAGGCCATGAGCCACATTCGGCCCAGTGCTCACAGCACACAGCCGTGCCCGTCCATGTAGGAACTGTCTACAACTGCTTCTGTGCTAAACCTGCAGAACTGAGTCATTCTGAGCGACCATCTGGACTGTAAAGCCAGAAATATTTATCCTCTGGGCCTTTTAGAGAAGTAGTCTGCTAAGATTCCTGATGTTCTGTATCAGATCTGTATCAGATCCTGATATTCTGTTGCAGATTCTGCAACATACAACTGCAACTATATAAATACATAAACACAATCTAAGACAGGGCCAGTGAGAATGAAACTATCTTCTATGAATATGGTGGTTAGATTACAAGGAGGAGCCCGTGAAAACAAAGTGGGAAGATTCTGGGAAGAACACACTGGATGCTAAGTGTGTTCTAAGCAGGTTAGAAGTACTTACCTTCTACCTAAGAAGTACAGGTTGATTATAAGATCTCCCTGTTTGAGACCAAGTATTGTTTTTTAATTAAAAAGAAAAAAAAAAAAGCCCCACCTCTGGTTCTGTCTTTGCTTCCTCTTTAGGCTGACCCACAGGGCTAAGTGGCTTGACTCTCCCTTCGGTCTTCCCCTGCGTGTTCCTGGGCCCCACCCCAGGCCTCGAGGGCGGAGATGTGCTCGTGATGGGTTTCACTTGAGCTGCAGGTGTGGAGGAGCAGCGACTGGTACTCATCTCTATAACGTGAGACGGCGCAATCGGTAATTCACGCAAATTACTATTTCTCGGAGCAGTTGGCTGCATTTGCTGCATTGGTCGCTTGGTTACATTCTGAGAAGTAGTGTTCTGTCACAAGAAGAAAAAAATTGTAATTACAACTGGAAACTCAGGAGAAGAAACTGGGCACATTAGATTAATTCTGACTGAGTAAGTGACTTCTCTTTTGGGAGGCAGACACTGTCCCACTGGTAAACATTTTCCTCCTACATAAATGTCTCTTGCTCTATGTAGCAGCATACCCTACAGCTAAGCCCTGGGGCTGGGAAAGGCATCATGCCAGCAGGCGGACAGTTTCCTCTTTATGGACATTACACCAGATGACTGCAGTAGGTGCCTTACAGGACTGGGACATTTTTAACAGAATCAACAGAGCAACAAGGACCCTCCTGCATGAGAAGTCAGCTGGGTTACTGGCACCCCAGTACTGACCACGGTGCCAGTACTGTTGACCCCCACGGTCAACAGGCCCCTAAATTCCAGGTAGAACAAGGAACAAAGCATTAAGCTAGTGCCCTAAAAAAAACTACACTCTGGAGGAGAAAGAGGCCCAAAGGTTTCATCAGAGAGGACACTTGTCAGTCACGTTCGTTCTCCAGATTCTCAGCAGACCCCACACCTGGAGGAGCATGCAAATCTGCGGAGGCCAGGGAGGGAGTACCCCGGGTGGCACAGCTCAAGGCTGGGGATATCGTCTGCCACTAACCTTGTAAGAGGAAGTCCAGGTGGCAAAGCACCCTCTTCCCAGATCTAGAAATTCTTTCCAATTTCTTATATCACTTTAGTCTCAATGTTACTCAAAGAAAAACACAGCGTTGCTTCCCTGGTGGTTCAGACAGTAAAGAATCCACCTGCAATGGAAGCAACCTGGGTTCGATCCCTGAGTGGGGAAGATCCCCTGGAGAAGAAAACGACAACCCGCTCCAGTATTCTTGCCTGGAAAATCTCATGGACAGAGGAGCCTGTGGGCTACAGTCCATGGGGTCACAAAGAGTCAGACATGACTGAAGTGACTTAGCATGCGTGCATCTAATGGGGGACAAGATAGTAATGATGACTAATCTTTGAATTTCAAAGCAACACGCATTTTCTAGCCTCTTTCAATGCCTGACAAGCCACACATCTGCTGACAGCACTTGAATCAATGCGGCTCTCCCCCATGATTAAGCTCCACGAAGGCAGGAAATGTGTCTCTTTTGTGCACTGCTCTATTGCTAGGAACTAGAGTAACACCTGACAACAAAAGATATTCAATAAATTCTTTCTGAATGCACTTACATTTGCATTAGTTGCCCAAGGAGTTAGAGAGAATCTTGGTACCAAGTAATAAACCACTGGCAAAGGTAGGATGACTATCACCCAAGAATATTTTCTAAAGTTATGTGTCAATCAATAACCTCATCTATCACCACAGAAACTGGCAGATACACCAAAGTCCTGTGCCAGAACACAGGAGTCCCCGGAGCCGGCTGAGGACATGGGACACTTACGTGCCGCAGCCCCGGGCGCTGGGGGCACTGCATCCGGCTGCTGCTGGGCTGAGGCTGGGCCGCCGGCATGTGAGGCCTGAACTGGGGCTGAGCCACGGGCATCAGCGGCGGGGGCGGCACGGAGAGGTGGTGGTGGTGCTGCTGTGGCTGGTGTGGAGGCTGGTGCGGCGGGGGCGGCTGCAGCGGGGGCTGCAGTGGGGGCTGCAGCGGGGGCTGCGGCTGTGGCTGCGGCTGCGGCTGGTGTGGCGGGGGCAGCGGGGGGTGCAGCGGCCCCTTCCCGGGCAAAAGAGAGAGAGGACAGTTTACCACGTGTGAACTATTCACCTTCCAGTGCAGCCACTTCCCTAAAAATCCCAACACCAGAAGAAACTTCAAGTGGCACTAAAATTTCATTTTAGATTGGCTGATGAAGGTGAATGATACCTTAAAGGCAGTAATAAGCCAAAAGCTACTACCTGGCATTTCACATTTGCTCTAACCCCTCAAATTCTGAAATTCCAGGAATGTATCCTAAGGAAACAACTAAGAAGGAAGGAAACACAGCCTCAAGGATGTTCTCGGCAACACTGTTTCTAACACCCAAGTGCTGAAAGCAATCAATGAGCGCCTGAGCTAGGACCAGCCAGGTAATGTCCACCACCACGAGAGATGGCAATAAGGAGCTAACTGGGGAAAGAAAGCATCACGAGGATGCAAGCACCAGAAGACTGAGAAATGCGTCACCCTAACGTCAGGTTTCTAGATGGTGGAACCAAAGTGAACCCATGCCTGTGGCGGTAAAATAGAGGAGTCCTAATCACTGGTCCACCAAGGAATTCCCAAATTATATTTTTTTAATAAAATAATTTAGGAAGAAACATTTTATCTTACTTTAACATCTTAAGAAATAACCATTTACCTATTTTTATTTTAGGTACATATTCTATGTGGTTTCTATATAATTGGTTCAAGCATATCATCATTACACACCTTAACAGTAAACTTAAAATATGAAATGAAACCTTCTGGGTAAGAGCAGACTCCAGCAGCTGATGAAAAAACCCACCAGCAGAGGGCACTCAAATCTCTCAAATAATGAGGCAGCAGCAACCGGTTTCTCCCCACTACACACTGCAGGAACGTGATCTGACAAAGAAGCTGACTTCCTATTAACCTTCTGAGAATCTCGCAGTGATAAGCGAAGGTATTATCAAAACATGTCCTAATTTTATTAGTAGTATATAGAACATCCTTTACAAAATCTTAATACTGAATTTTTTCCTTTCCCCCCAAAATGACAATCACTACCTCCATTTTTCCTATGGTTAAGAAAATAAGCAGTATTAAGAAAGCTGTCTTAATCAAGAGTACATTAAGTTTAATACCCTTTTTCTTTAAACACTCTCCACATCTCAGTAGACTAGAATGAAAATGTGGAGCCTGTCCTTCGGATTCTGAAACACACGTCACTCACCTGCAGACTGGGCTGCGTGTGGGTGGGCAGGAAGGGCTGTCCGGGGCCCGGCAGGAAGGGCTGGCGAGGAGGGATGAAGGGCCGTGTGGCTGCGGACCCTGGCTGGCTGAAGTGCAGGAGCCCCACTGGCCCCGGAGGCTGGAGGGCTGGCCTCACGGGCCTCTCTCTGGGGAACACAGGCTGCTGCCCCTGCTGACTGAACGCTGGGCCGGGCTGGGTGAAGGGCAAGGGGCTGGGCGTGGGCACAGGGTGACCACTGCTGAGGAGCGTGGGAGGAGGCGGCGGTGGGGGGGGACTTCGTTGCTCCAGGAAGAGATGGCTCGGGAACCTTGGCTCACCTGAAACTGAGGGGAGTTGCAACATTAATTACCTCTAGTTACACAGAACACTGCAGACAGCAGCTTTATGTACTGTCCTACTAAGGACAAAAGTTAACCAGTGGTGACTGGGGGTGAGCGTCTGAAAAGAACTCTATATTTTGCTTATGTGTTTCTAGAACTGCTTCCTTAGTTATTTTCTACAGATGATGCCCTCCTTCACAGGAAATCTTCACATTTCAGATACCACTAATGTCCAATTTTAGCATCTGAAATGACAGGCAGGGCTATGGTATAAGCACCCGACACTTAACAAATCCCCGACTGGGAGCTGAGCAGGGTTTAAAGCATAAACACGGTCAGGCACATAGCCCCACACGGCTCTGCTCCTGTCCTCCACACCCTCCTTTACCTCCCAAGAAGAAAGGGTCTCGCTCCTGGGGTGGGGGCGGGGCCCTCCACTGGTCCTGAAGAGGAAGCCGAGGGGGCTGGCTGAAGTTGTTGGGGACGGGGCCAGGCGTGTGCTGCGGGAACTCTGGAGGGCCCTAAAGAACAACAGGAAAACAGGATGGAAGGCGGGGAAATAAACGGTAATGTTCAAAAAGGTCAATGTGTTTTCAGTCTTCCTCTGAAAACATCAAGTAACTGATCTCCTGCAGCCCCATCGCCATCTATATATAACCTCATATTACAAAATAGGTGTATTCTGTATATCTCTGCCATAATTAAACAGTCAACCATCAAAATGCAACACCTAAAAATTAATTCAATGTTTGCACAGTACTACAGAACCAGCAGAATATTATTTTTAAGCTTACTGAAATCCACACAATTATTGACCTTCTTGCCCATTAATCTGAAAGACTAAATGTCTACTTCCAGCGTTCCTGACATTTATCTTCTCAAATGTGCTATTCTTTGCTACCTTTCTGACACAACCATAAGCCACAGCTATTACCTCAAAAGAAAAAGAAATTGAATGTGTACTGTAACAAAAACCAGCCATCTCTGATGAAACAGGAAAATGTGAAAATGTTTAAGAAACCACATTGCTACAAAAGAAATACTACAGTCAGATTCCACTGGCTAAATAATTCTAAACTCTTGCAGATTACCATTTTTCAAGAACAACATGTTACTAGTAGAACTCTACCAAAAAAACAAAAACTAAAATTACTTCTTTTTCAGCCAGTATTTTATAATAACTTTAAGTGAAATATCATCTATAAAAATTTTGAATCACTGTATTATACACCCAGAATACTGTAAATCAACTATATCTCGATTCTTAAAAAGTCATTTTTCAGTTGGTTTTTCAAGTATTTACAGAGAGTTTTAAAAAAACTACATTTACTTGAGAAAGCCCCACATTTTTTCCTACTTATTTTTCCAGAAATTCATTAATTATATATACTATCATCAAAATAATTTTCATTTAATAACACTTTATTATTTCTCAACTTAAAAAACATCACATTTCCCATAAACTTGAAATTCTAATGATTTTCCTGTCTTTTTATTACTAATACAACTAGCTAGTCTTTCTAAATGTGGCATTATATTACAATGTTGGAAACACTTTTGCAAACTACACTTGCTTTCCTTCTCTCTTTAAACAGCTGCTCTATCCATAGTGTTTTAAACATAATGCCAAACGAACACCATCACAAACCTGTAAGACCATTGGCTATATGACATCAACAAAATTTTATTTAGACACAAACATTACTTCATAAAAAGACACAGAGACATGTGGTCAGAAAGTCGCAAAGATGAAATTCTTGTAATCTGTGTCTATGTGGGTGAAATTTAGGACATTCTCACCTCACAATGTTTGACATCTGACATAAGGAAACATCACTTCTCACTCTAGATAAAGGTATCAATTAAGATACAACTGAAGCAATAAATATCAGGAACTGACAAATGTTGGATCTATAACTGAGAATACATAACTGTATAAACTCAGACTAAATCATCACATTTTTCTACCCCTAATAAATGTATATATTTTTGTCACAATGTTAATGTGAAACTTCACTAATATGATGCTGTGATACGGATGCTCTTCAATATTTACTATTTTGCAGTAATGCAATAATATGCTAGAAAAGCCTATTTCTAACAGCATCAGCTATCCTACACTGATACTGATTAAATCTGCACTAGGAATTTCAATGGACTTGCCTTCTTGTCTTCCACTGCCACTCTTTCCCCATTTTAAAACAACTTATATTTTTGTGTGCAGTCAATGAAATATGTAGTGATGCATTTACATGGGTATTTTGTCAAGTAACTTAAAAAGAACAATTATTAATAAAAGTATTTATGAAATACAACATTAGTATCCTGTCTGTAGTTTTATAGACCTTCTTCCTCACATGTAAATGTATTTTAAAACTTTCTGGATGATAACATATTAGCAATCAAGGTCCAATAATTTTTTTTTTTTTAATGCTTAAATCATTTTTCTTGGACTGGCCCAGAAAATAAAATTTAAAATTGTCTGCCCTCTGTTTTATGGCAAGGTTTGACTGGTCATGCTGCCTCCAATCTGTGCAACGTGATACAGAAATTAGCAATGCTCACCTAAGTAAAACCAGGGTTCAACTATACAGCTTGCTTTCTCAAGCTATTATGGAGTATACTTCCCTGTCCCCCCTCTGGAAGAGGGAACACCAAGAGAGAGTTTCCAAGAGGCCAACACAGAAGGGACAGATAAGAGATATTAACTGTACCACAGCATAAAACAAGGTACTGGGTGTAAAACATAAAATCACTAAAATTTAAAGCCTTATAAAAATGAAACACATGTACTTTTCATGAGGTTTTAGCTTACAAATAGTAAAACATTAACACATACCTGAAGACAAGTAAAAAACATGTTCAACCTTTACAGCATCCTAAGAAATGTTAGCTCCCTTCAGATAACTGAGCTGGGATCACGTATAAGCCGGTGTGTGTGGCCTGCATCAGGTCACCAGGGCAGGGTCTGCCTGGATGCAGGTCTGGCGGGGCAGACAGCACCACGAGAGGCCTTCAGGAAAGCCACGTGGATGTGGAAGTGCCATAGTTGGCAGGGGGACTGCCGTGCCAGGAAAGGCCCTCACTCGGGCTGGCCCACCCGTGTGCTGAGAAGGGGGCGTGAGACACCTGGGCTGGACCCGGGGGGCTTCCTGGGGCTGTCACTGGGACCTGTGGTCAATGCCCTGCCTCCCCAGCTGGTCTGACAGCCCCAAGGGCGCGTGGTGGGAGAGCCGGGCACCGAGTGAGGCCCACCGGAGTCGGCACCAAGGCTCGCATCTGGGCGCCATCACAAGAGGGAGAGAGAAGCCCCCCTCCTTCCTAGCACTCCCAGCGCACTCCTGCCGTGCGGCGGCGGCCACAGAGATCCACACAGGGGTCAACTCACTCTGTGAAGCCGACGTGAACATCTGCTTCGCAGGCAGGACGTGCGGGGAATGGATGTGACGGCCACGGCCTCACTGCCCCGGCTCCCGCACTGCCCGTCGGGCCCCGTGTGGAGCCCTGCCCGCCTGAGCTCACCAACGCACTGTGAGAGGGGAGGGACGTGCCCTGCTTCACAGCCAAGGAAATCCAATCACGTGACACCATTCTATTTTTTAATCATAGATTTCAGCACCCAAGAAAAACAAGTTAAAATGTAGTAGGGGAAGTTTCAACGCATATAAGTCATCAAAATGACTAAATCTGGGGATTCTAAAAATGACACTTTCCCAACTCAGACATGAAAATCACAGTTTATAATTTTTATGCAAAACATGAATTCTGGAAACCATCGCATTCTGTACAAATGTTCACATCCTGATTTCTTCAGGAAAACGTTCACTCTGTGCTTCTGTTTAAGCCAAAATGTGAGCCCTGTCAGAAGCCCCTGATTCAGAAACTTCCTTTTCCCTGTCCCTCCTTCATTCTCCTGCCAGTGGTCTGTCCTGGGGCCGCACTGTTCCAGGAGACACTGTGTGCACCTGGGCCAAGGCAAGCCCGCAAGCCCACATCCCCACAGACCCCCCAGCACTGCTGGGTGGAGCTCTACACACACCTCGTCAGACCCCCTCTAAGCTTCCACTTCCTCTTGACGGGCCCAGCTGCGTCTCTCACAGCTTCCCTGCTCCTGGCCAGCACTCCCACTGACCGGGATACTCTCCCATCCTCCCACCCCTCAGGATTCCTCCCCAGCTGCACCTCCATCCAGAGAATTTTCTGCCATGAAGCATGTGCTCAAGGCTGACTTTTAGCAGCAGTCTACTTGTTAGAAATTTTCATTCTGTTACTGCGTTTGGCCAGTTTTCACATAAAAAATAGGAACAATAGGCTGAACTACAACAGCAGTTGGAACTATTACACTACTGATTTGCTGACAAGCTTTCGATCTGAACTACTTCAGGACTCACATCTCATTAGCTGTATCAGTCACTGTTATGCTAGTGAGTTGACAAAAGAGGACAGAGAGACGTATCAGAAAGAAGAGTGGGAAAAGTAAAAAGCATTCTCTGACACAGAGACAGTCCTGTAAGGCTATTTCCACTCACCCCTTCAGTGCTGTTTCGGATGAATCACTGGAAAGCAGCATCACTCATGGGAACTTATTACTAACTTAAAACTCTCACTGGTCCCCACAAGAAGTAAGACAAAGCTTAACTTCCATTGTTCAGAAGCACTGTTCTCAGAGTCCCTCGTCCAGGGCTTCCCGCACCCCACCCAGCCCAGCTCACTTCACACGAGGTCTGCAGTGTTGCTGGCTGTACCGTCAACACCAGGAAGGCGGAACTCAGCCCCACATGCGGAAGAATCACTCCAGAGCTGCCGCCTCCACTCAGCTCCCCAGAGGCCAGCAATGGCAGATTCTGTCTTGCTTCCCTGATTCTGCTCACAGTTCAGAGAATCTTGAAGAAGTTCCTAACTTTTCTGTCCTGACAATGAAGTCCCAATACTTCACACCACTTCTCTTATCAGGCTCGCATCATGCTGGGAAAACACTCAGGCTTCCTCGGGCATCTGCGGTTATTTATAAATTCTGCATTTTGTTTATAAATGCATCTTAGAGCCACAAGCCTCACCCCTGCAGATGAAGCTCTGAACACACTGGTCATGTGGCTGCTACAACAGGGCTTTTATAGCCTTCTCTCTCCTTCCGTTACACAGGTCATTTCAAGTCTGCCCGACAGGTTCTCTCATGACAGATTAGGCAAAGTGTTGGTGGACAAACACACTGGCTTTCCCCACTGTAAGTCAGTAGGAAGCTTGCGACTTTTTGACTTTCACTTTGCAGAGGCGGAGATCAGGGCACACATGCTCTCCTCAACCCCTTCAGCCTTTCTTAAAAGGAAGCAGTTATGGAGTTACAAGAATGAGCTCAGAGGAGACTGATGTGGCTAGTTTTCACAAAAAATTTCAAGCTGCCTGAGGGTCTCTAAGCACTTTCAGATTTCCTGGGAGATTATTTTGAATATTTCTAACTTCAAAGGACAACTTTTGATATTAAACTGAACACACATTGGGTCATAAATCTGGCCCCCCTTGG